CAAAAAAGCTGAAAAAATAAAAAAAATCAAATAAATCAAAAAAATCATGAAAAAATCAAAAAAATCATTGATTTTTGATTTTTTTGATTTTTTAAAAAAAATCAAAAAAATCGCCAACCCTGTCTGGCGGACGTTCAGAACAAGAGAAGCGGAACCAATGATCACACTCTTCAGAGCCCTTGTAATACCTCTCCTTGAATACTGCTGCCAGCTCTGGACCCCGTTCACATTCGGCGCAGTACGGCAACTGGAAGGGGTTCAGCGAGCCTATACTTCTAGGATCAAAGGGATGGAGGAGTTAAACTACTGGGAGAGGTTGCAGCGACTTGGTCTGGACTCACTGCAGAGGAGACGGGAGAGGTATGTCATTTTATACACATGGAAAAGGATAATCGGAATGACACCAAACTTCGAGAACGAGACCTTCAAGATTGAGACATACCATAACGAAAGAAGGGGGAGACAGTGCAGGATCCCCCCCCCACTACGTAATAACTAGATCTGCGGTCAGATTTCAATCCCAGCGAGAAGGATCACTTTCCATGGCAGGGCCGAGGCTGTTTAACGTCCTACCAAAGGATCTAAGAGAGGAGGAATTCACCCTGGAGACCTTCAAGAGACGACTGGACAATCCCAGATCGACCTCCCCTGCAACACTACCAGCGGCGAGAAGCAAGCAACAGCATCGTGCATCAGGTGGCCCAAATGAGGGCGGATGGGCGATAATCAGAGGCGGCGATCCATCGTGGCCTGGGACTGCTACGTCCGCAACATATACTAAGAATACTCAGATATAAGTCAGCTGCTCTTAAGTGCGTCAGCTACTCCGATTGTAAGTTCTAAGGCAGCCGGAAGTTATACGACGGTCGTAAGTTCTAGAACGACTGCAAGTTCTACGACGGCCGTAAGTTCTAGAACGACCGTAAGTTCTAGGCCGGCTGTAATTTTATAACGGCCGTAAGTTATACAATGACCATAAGTAGTAGGACGACCGTAAGTTCTACGAGGGTCGTAAGTTTTAGAACAACCGTAAGTTCTAGGCCGGCTGTAATTTTATAACGGCCGTAAGTTATACAATGACCATAAGTAGTAGGACGACCGTAAGTTCTACGAGGGTCGTAAGTTTTGCTACGGTCATGAGTCGTACGCGTGTCGTAAGGCCAGCAGGCAATTGGCATCTGGGCTGGGCGTCCCACACGCCGCCCCACCGCGCGATGTCATCCCCGCAACTTGCCTGCCACTTGACGCGGTTACTCCTGATTGCCTCTCATTGCCTGCACAGTGCAGCCTACATCACTCGTACAGCGTAGAGCCTACATCACTCGTACAGCGTAGAGCCTACATCACTCGTACAGCGTAGAGCCTACATCACCAGCACTGCGTACAGCCTACATCACTCGTACAGCGTACAGCCTACATCACCAGCACTGTGAACAGCCTACATCACTGGCACTGCGTACAGCCTACATCACTCGTACAGCGTACAGCCTACATCACCAGCACTGTGAACAGCCTACATCACCAGCACTGCGTACAGCCTACATCACTCGTACAGCGTAGAGCCTACATCACCAGCACTGCGTACAGCCTACATCACTCGTACAGCGTACAGCCTACATCACTGGCACAGCGTACAGCCTACATCACCTGCACTGCGTACAGCCTACATCACCAGCACTGCGTACAGCCTACATCACCAGCACTGCGTACAGCCTACATC